AATTTTATTTTGATGTTATTCTAAGATTTTCTATTAAAATAAAGTCAGTAATGACATTTTTTCGAAAGTATCGAAAGTATCGAAAGTATCGAAATACATTATGGTACCGGTACCGGTACCAAAATGTTGGTATCGTGACAACACTAGAGGGCACAGCTGTGGACCCTGCCTCTGACACACAACTGTCTTTTCAGGGCCCCCACCAAACTCATAAGAGCAGTTTTCTGACAAATGTTGTCTGCCTGGAGTACTGGGGGAATTTCCACCATCAGCACACTGGGAGTTCCCCTGGGCAGAGCCACATCACACGTCTCGGTGTTCAGAGACCCGTCTCTCCACATCAACTGTCAGGAACTAGCTACGGTGCTGAAGGTGGTGAAATACCTCGCACTGGTGCTGAGAGGAAGACACGCGTGATCAGACGTTGCAATACATTGCACACATCGGTCATCGGGGCGGTGTTGATTGTTCCGGCTGCTGGAAACTGCAGGAAACTCCTGCTCTGGGCTTATCAGAACCTGCTCTCCCTCAGAGCCATGCGCGTCCCCAGTGAGCAGAACTGCGCTGCAGATCTCATGTCACGAGGCAGACCTCAGCCCAGCAAGTGGAGGCTGAACCCGTCCCTCTTTCAGACACTGTGGGACAGCACGCAGGAACACACGGTACCACCTCTGTTTTTCACTGAACGTTCAAGAGGAATGGCTGCACATCCTCTTGATAGCGCCGGAGCACGCAAGCGGGGCACTGCTTGGCGCGATCCAGCAGTGCCCTGTGTCAGTCAATTCAGTTTACGAGATCTTAAGCCTTAAGCTGCAAATGGTCAGTTTTTCAACATTGCCACATGGAGAGGGGCACAGCTCCCACTTCCTGCCCTGTCTTAAGTGCTGAATTTTTCTACAGATCCCGGTAGATAGAAACCTGGCTCTGTAAGCGTATGCTGCTGCCATCTCTTCATGCCATGAAGTTTTTGGTGAGCGAATTGTTTTTTTGCACACCTGCTGGTGAAACGCTTTCTCAGGGGTATAGGCAGACAAGCCTGTGACGTGTTCAGTGGCACCTCAGTGGGATTACCTCGTTTTACACGTGTGACTGGGCCAATATACAGGCCGATGCAACCCAGACAGACCCTAATAACTTTTAGTAGTTCCCCAAGAATAACATCCCTCCTGTTCTCAGAGGTCAAATTCATGCAAACTTCAGCAGTACTGAGTTGCTACCCCCCAGATAAATCTGCAAACACAGAGACGTTGAGGTTACCCACAGAGATAAAAATTTATTTGAGACAGTGTATAACTTAACAGTGAAAATATTTAAAAAGGCCTGACCCCAAAAGCTAAAATACTACCTACGAGAAGAAGTTTCTCCCCACTCAATAAATACAGTGCAGGGCAGGAATAAAATGGTCAGCCAACAGGTTGCAAAGGGCACCATTTAAATGAACACCACAAATAAATCACACATCAACAACCCAAATACAAGAGGGCCTTGTCTCCCTGTGCATCAAACCATTCACACACTGTTCACACACCATAAAATTGGCTAAACCCTACTTGGGAACAATACAATAAATAGGGAACACATGCCTAGGTAAACCTCTTAACATAAAAACAGAACAAAAAACAACAAAGCAAGGCAGAACGTTACATAAGCAAAACAGCAGTGGCTATCACCCCTGCAACAATTAATGCCACTGTTAATAAATAGCATAGAAACATCCAAACAATTAAAACCAACAACACTACAGGTTACCTTGGCTGCACGTCACCCTAGCATATGTGCGATGGACGCCAACTTCTACTGGATCACGCTTACATCAATTATCGCCCCTGGAGAGCATGCAGTAATCCCCTGAAAACAGTCTACAACCAAAACAACCTGATTAAGCACTTTGCACTTCAACAGATCCGATCTACAATCAGTCCGTTGGACATACCTTACAGAGAAAGCAGGACGCAGATCAATGGAGGGAGATCCACTTCAAAACAGTTACAGCAGCGACCAGCACAGAAATTGCTTGTCGAAACAGCATCTCCCCCAGTGTTATTTATATCATGACCATTCCAGCAAATTACTCACCAGGCGGTGTAGGCGTGGCCAACACGCCAGTTACACACGCACTCAGGAAACCCCCCTTTGAGCCCATAACAGAAATCTATCTCAAACATCTCTCTCTGGAAACAGCACTTCTCTTAGCCCTAACTTTGGCCAAGCGAGTGGGCCATCTGTGCGCACTGTCTGTCTCACCGGCACACACAACTGTTTTGTAGGAGACATTCTCTTGGACAGCCTTTATCCAAACCACAGCTGTCTCACTGGCTGTGTGAGGCTATCACACAGGCTTACATGTTAGCTGGGTGTGATCCCCCACCTGGCATCAGAGCCCACTCTGCACGGCAGCCTCCTGGGCTGTGTCTTTTGACCCTATTGTACCTTCGGGACGCGTCCGAGTTTTCCACTGGCTCACTCGGTCCTGAGTGTTCTACGCGACCGAGTGGCTTTT